AAGATTTGCACTTCCTTGTAGCCTATTTGCTACCAAATCCAGAAAGACTTTTTCATCTTTATAGGTATATTCATTTAAATCGACTGAACAAATTAATCGATAGCCAACTGCAAGAGCTCTTTTTTGCATGATTGGATTGAAAATAGTGGTTATCATTTTGTCATAACCATGTCGAGCACTTATTGCTTCTACTAAAAAACCGCTCAAGAATCCAATAGCCTTACTAGCATATTTTTCACCTCTCAAGCAAGCAACATCATCGATAACGATCATTTTCTTTGGATCAAAGGATTCTTTTTTCTCTGCGTCTTCATATAATTGCATCATACAATCCATAATCGGAGCCATAGCTTCTCCATAGTTATCAACTATGTTCTCGCCCGCAGTCGCTTCAGTTGCCTTACTGTAAACATAACCAATTCCTACTCCAACTAATTTATTATTTTCTATATCTCGAGCAACGATTGCTAATTTATCTTCCATCGCCAATCGGCATTCAAATTTAGCAGCAAGGATATACTGCTCGACCGTTATACCTCGACTTTATAAATTTCATTTCGTTCAATAAAAGAGATAGCAATGACTTTCATAACATCAATATATAATAGTGATGCTGAATATACTTTTAAGCTTAGAATGAAATCAATAAGTCTGTAAATAGACTGCAGCACTTAGAGGGGCCTAGGACAGGTGATAAGGCAAGCGATGATGGATAGACTTTGAGCTTAAAATTAAATAAATAAGTCTGTTATTACATTACAAAACTATGTGAACCTATTTTGAGCATTACACTTACACTAGTTGTTTCTGGAGAGTGATCAACTTCACTATTCATGGTATGACTTTGAAGTTAAGAAATGAAGATCGTGGTATAAAGATGTATAACTTCATCATAGCAATGCAAATAATTTAAAAGTAGGTTAAATCTGTGCTCTTTTGGTTCAATAAGATTATCTATTGCTGGGATAAGTTATGGTGTACTGCCTCATTTATATGCATTATTTGTTCTATGTGCAATGTATCTTAATTAATTAATACGCTAAAAATCCGTTTAAGAAGCTATGTAACTTGATCTTAGCAATGCAAATAATAATTCATAAATTAATTATCTTCAACTCTGGATGTTCAATAAGATCAACTATCATTCCATTAATTATTACCGAAACTCCTTTCACTCTTGATAATTACGTACTGTAATTATACTTCTAACTTTATCTATATAATAGCGTACAATCACTTTTCAAAATGAGTATATATTTAAAATTACTTGTGTATTCCTAGACACACGGACGAAAATTTTTAACAATTTTGGATAACTTTCTAATTCCGAGTGTATCATAGAGTATATGGAATAGGCTATAAATAATTGATCTTTTTTAGAAGCAATAATAACCTGATAGTTAACAACTGAAATGCGCTTTAGCTACTTTACTGGTTCATTATTTTCATTGTAAGTAAACATGCAGTTTTCTTTTCAAATGATAAATATCATTATCCGTTAACATAGCGTATCATATGGAACTTTAATGACGGATTTTTATTAGTATAGCTAGTTTATTATTGATTACATTATAATCCCACCCTCCCGTTAATACAGAGTGAGGAACTTTATAGCTAGGGCTCACTTCCTTCTATTATATAATTATCATTCATAGATCTTACTAATGGTATCATATACGGTACTCTAGTGATATGAGATTAAATGCCATGACAAATTTAAAACATCACAACTAGCTAATTAGATAACCAAAATTAATAGCCAGCAATTAATTATAATATGTGCATGATTCTGCAGGAACTACTCGACGAAGAATTCACCTCCAAATTTGAAAATAGAGGAAATCAAGTAGAGTAGTGCCCGCTTTCTATCGCTTTGATATATGACATGTACAAACAATCTTGTACAACCTTCCATTTTTAATTTAACTTTATTCAATTTAATCCAATAAAGTAGAATAACATGCAAATTTCTGGTTACCCAGTGATTGAATAATCTAATTTTTGATCGCTGTTTACTTTGAATGATATACTACCGCTGTTATAAAATACTTCTATTTTAGTTAACATCCATGAGTAAAATGGCACTGAACCGAAATTTTTCTCTGATATTGAATTAAATATTTCTCTGTAGTACAGTCGCAAATGAGCCCAAAATTACGATTGCAAGATTGTAGTGAGATCATTTCAACTTGCATGTTAGATTATAAGATTGTCTAGGTACCCATTCGTAAAAGATGGTTCCATTACGTGGACTGTTTACTGCATAATATGTTATAGTCTATTCTTAGTATGTTTATTTTCCCCTACTCTATAGCGTAACTCTATGGATGTAAATCTACATTGAATAATTCACACTGTAGAAATCTACTGATACTCTAGTTGAATTGTATCGTAGAGCTAATTTAACGTAAAAGTAAGATACTTTTAGAAGCCATTCGCCTTGATAAGAAATTCCTCCTACTGTGCTCCCTACGTTATAAAAGCTGTCTTCATTCGTCTGTCTAGTTAGTGATTCCTGTTAGTTATACGTTATGCGTCTACGATTTACCAGTACCAATCCTAGGTACTATAGCTATCCGACTAGTCATGTCGTTACTCGCGCTGTAGCCTTGGATGGTTATCCTCTGCATGTTACCTCAATAAAAACTAGTATTTTACAAGTTATTCTTTTACAATTTATTGATTATTCGACGCTTACTCTTCTGAAGCATCACAGTAATGCAGCATATATAGATACAATAGTACAAAATAATGTAGCTTTCAATTTTCTTGTAATATATTGCTTAGGGTGGAATACATAGCTGTTCATTTAAACGAGAACTTTACCAGTTTATATCATGAACTAACGGTTACAGGCAATTTTAGTTCTTGCTTTAGTTTGAAGAAGACGCTTCATTACATTATCTATCAATCATTTTCAGGGTAAATAGCTTGGTTAAGATCGGCCTTATAGTGGACTTCAATTCAATCGATATACGCAAAATGAACTGAAAGGGTATCTTGTGTAACTGTTGATTGAACTGGTGCTCCTTTTCATCATTTTTATATAAAAATAGATGCAGCATTTTGATCATAGCTTACTCGGATTTAGTACTCCTATGTAAAGTGAAATTGAGCGAAAGCCATTCTTAGATATGGATTCATATACGCGTTCTTTACCATCATTTCCTGTAATACTGGCTACTTCGATACTATTAATTTCTTTCCAATTTGGAAGCATATCCAAATCATTTTTGGTGATTTTGTGTATGGCGATAGTTGCAGCATGTGTGTAGCCTTTTCTTTCTGCTAATACTAACGCAAATTCTGGCAGTATGTAACCGACACCTTTGCCTGATGCACTCTTTAGTACAGATACTTCATCAAGATAAACTATTCGATCGATGCCACCATATTGATGCCATGGTGTTGTTTTAAATAGTTCTACAAGAGCATTAAGAAGTGGGACAAGTTTACTACCACAGCGGTCATACGATTCCTGTCCATGGGTAACATTTATTGCTGTGGATAATGAATAAGCTACATGAACACCTATCATTTGGCCTTGTCTATTACGAGCTATGCATCCAATTCTACTCTCAACACTTTCTTGACAGGAAAAAGTAGAATCTTCAAGATATTCATCAGCAGACATACTTATACTTCTATAAAATGGATTGCTAGCCATACATTGTGCACTAATTCGACTTGCTTCAGCGATATCGCTCTTTTCCATTATATGATAGGAAATTTTATTCTTGAAGTCGTATAAATAGTTCTCATTTCCGGATCTAAATTGCCGTAGAAGCTGATCATACCATGCTAAATCTTTTCTAAACATTTCGGCTGGTAATTAATTAAAGAATAAAAATTGGAGTTATTTTTACGAACGGCTATAGTATACATAATACTAGATCGTTTATGGTGGCATAAACACTCTTCTAGTGGTGCTAACGAATTGTTACACTAATTTTAGTTAACGATAAAAGAATCTATTTTTCGATTCAATGGATTTATGTTAAATCTCTGAATGGCTACTAACATTATTTCAGTTGAGTAATCAAACTTTCCGGCATAAGTTACTATCATAGTATAGTATTACCTTGAATTTGGTTTCCTATTTAGTTTTGCATTGATTCTATTAACATAGATGACGAAATTGGTCATTAATTTTACAAGATTGAGGATAATTTAACAGTCCTACTTGTTTAGAATAGATTAATGCCTAATTTAGCGCCTTAATCTAACAGCTATCTATGTAGATGGTCCAATAGGATATGCTACAATCTTGAACTAGTTATCTTATTGAATAATGCCTTAAATCTATTAAGACGAAGGCAAGATCTAGAATTGATTTAATGGTTGACTTGATAGGACTAGTGAACTTTGTTGCATTAATAAATGTATAAATACCTTGTCTTACCGTTTTAACTAATTCAATTATAAGTATAACATATGATAATATTGAAAACGCCAAAGTCTTGAATTAGTCTATTCTGTTTAACTTTACTTTGATTATATCAGAAGAACAACGTAATTCGTCACAAATCTTTATGATCGACAACTGAATAATCTTCTTGGCCTTCAAAGCTTGTATTAAAAAGTCTGTACTTATCGTACAATACAAGTATACCAGAATTTCGAATTCTGGTAAAAGGTACTGAGTTCTGCTAGGCAACCAAGGTGCAGTTCACCGCTATTTATTGCTACTTATGTATACTCTTCGATGTCGCCAGCTTTTATCCTTAGACTTGTTTTTATACTTAATGGTGATAAATAGAGCCATCATTGTTCTCAAGGCATTGTTTATGATGTAAGGCGTCTAAGATACGTGATCATTAAACATTCTTGTCCATAACAATATAGCAATTTCTAGTTCTGTATTGATTTTATTTATGCATGTATGCTTTTGGATAATGCAGCTTATTATCTATAGTATCCAGAATAAAATTATCGCATTACGTTTCAATTAAAATTAGCATAATTTCTATATAGTTTAATTCAATGCTATTAAGCTAAGTAAGTAGATATTTTTAATCAGCAATGCTTTTTCGCTTATTTTATTTCATAATTTTGCGAATTGCTTACGATGTAGTAATTATTCCATTCTTATACCATTAAAGTGGTAGTTAATAAATGTAGAGTCGTATGTATTGTTGGTTGTAGCTCAGAATTCGTGTTACCATTGTTTAAGAATTAGTTACTGATAAGATTTGAACACCTAGATATTATAGAGTGTGAACTTTAATAATTGGTGGCAAGTACATTAAAGTAAATTATTATTTACTGATTAAGTTTTGATTTTTATGTGGTCGTAAAGGTCACGGTTTATCATGTTAAAATGAAAATGATTCGGATTATAATTGCTAAATATTAAGACTAGAGGTCGAATTTGTAATGGCTTTCCTTTTGGTGTGGTCGGCAAATTTTACTATTTGAATATTAGTGTACCTTGCTAGATTGGATCATTCAGATTATCAGCTTCAAATTATTAACGTTTTAAATTAGATTCTAAATGATCTCCGGACTAACAGTTTATGAGTATCTGAAATTATTATTGTTTGAAGGTGTATTAAAAATTAAAATTAAAATTAAAATTAAAATATTAAAATTATTATTATGTATTAAAATTAGCTCATGCATTATCTACTTGTCATCTTTTAAAATTAGATTTGATTCCTGAATTACAATTTATTAGCGTTTTGAATTTATTAAATCTTTGTATCTTAAACGTAGTTTTAAAGAAGGTCTAGAAGGCGTTCTTGATGACTTTTACTGACCATCATTGAAATATTATACGACAGTTCCCGCATATCAATCAAGTGTAAAAGAAAGCTCAGGACATAAATTTGAGTAATTCTATCCAGAATTTTTGTGTGTCCTTGTCACACACCACTAGTGACAAAGTAGTCTACACACGCCAATCCTTGCGTAGAACGCCACTTACTAACTTAAAGAGGCGAGATTAGCTATATCACCAAATAATTCAGTTCCAACGACGTTTACTATGGTATAATTATAGCGTCACAGATGATGTAGACGAGATAGTCAGAGATTTACTATCATTTATTACTGAAGGAATCTTGGCACCCAAGATTATAGTCTTTACAATTAAATATCAATTGAAAAACTAGTTGACTATCTAACCGACTAACGAACTAAAAAGGAATCTTCATTAGGACGAGCTTACGCATCGTAACAACTATCTAACCGACTAACGAACTAAAACGGAATCTTCATTAGGACGAGCTTACGCATCGTAACAGTCCTTCTAACTATATTCATATAAATTAGCAGAATAAAACAATATATAGATTTATGATGATGTATGTAGGTACTTTATTGGTTGCTATGCCAAAGTATCTCAAAAATATTACAGCAGCCATAATTTCTGGTGAAACTATTTTATTGCGTGTGCATAAAAATTGATACGCTTACCAAGTATTTAGAGTTAGTTACAATACACAAGACTTTGCTCATGTTTTAACACACTTTTATTTTGCCCTAAGTTATATGCCATTTTGCAAGTAGAGAGATAATTGGTCATAATTTAAGCCACGCTATACCTACAATATTTAGTGCTGCAGGACTTGGAAACGTTAATTGAACACAACCAAAATATGAAATTTTTTTACGAAATGGCATTAAAAAATCTCATGGTTAAGAAAAGGAGTTCAATACTTTTACTTTAGCAATGCTTTCCTTTACAAGTATTAAGTAATAAATAGTTTCCATTGCAAACGCAGGTGTCCTGGAGAATTGTCATAATAATTTTATAGTTTGCGATAATTTAATCTTTCTATACAGGATAATATGAGCTCAATATCTCTACATGTACTAATAGTTGTAGTCCTACTTTCTGTTACTCTACTATATAATTAGTCTAATCAACACTATAATTACAATTTACTCGGATTCAATGCTAGCATATATAGCTGAATTGAGCGTATACCTTGCCTGGCTATGGATTCAAATGCTTTTTCTTTACCATCGTTTCCGGCTATACTAGCTACATCGATGCTGTTAATAACTTTCCAATTTGGAAGTACATTCGCATCTCCCTCCAAGATCTTTTCGGTAGTGATACCGGTAATATGGGTATAACCTTGTCGTTGAGCTAATGCTACGGAAATTTCGGGCAAAATAAATCCAATACCTATACCAGAAGCGCTCTTAAGAACAGCTAAATCATCAATATACGCTATTCGTTGTGGATCTCCATATTCATGCCATGGTGTTGTTTTAAGTAGTTGCACAAGAGCATTTAGAAATGGAGTAAATTTTTGACCACATCGCTCAAATGATTCTTGACCATACGTAACATTAATCGCTGTGAATAAAGAGTAGACCAGATTTATTCCTACCATATTTCCATGACTATCTCGAGCTACACTTGAAATGCCAGCATCAGCAGCTATTTGACATGTTACAACAATATCTTTAAGATATTCTTCAGCAGACATTCCAATGGCTAGATAGAATGGATTGCGAGCCATACATTGTGAACCAACTTGGCTTGCTTCAGAAATATCGCTTTTTTGCAATGCATAATAGGTAATTTTATTCTTAGGGTCGTATAAGTAGTCATTGTTGTTATCTATAAATTGCTTACAAAGTTGTTGATACCAAGCCAAATCTTTTCTAATCATTATGGCTATGGATAAAAATACAACATTAATGATTCATATCTCAAGGATCTTAAACGGTCATCAGTCAGTTAAACACACACTATTCAAGTAAGATGGAATTCGGAGTAAACTATGATAATAGTGATCTAAACGATGCTAGATATTAATTGTATGCGAATTAATAAATCTACGTATGCAAGATACAGATTCGAACTAGATCGATTTAATGCACTACAATGCGTAGTTTGGGCTATAGCGGAGCTTCTTAATGTAATGGTAATAAAATTGTGAATTTGAATGACTTCCAGTAGGAGTCTTTGTAGCACTAATTTGTTACCGTCTATTATTTGTTGTACTGTAATAAAAAATTCTTCCATAGCAACTGACACTAATTAATCTTATTAATGCTCTTAAATGATTCTATGACGGTCAATAATGCTGTATTCATTTGGCTATTAAGTAAGACTTAAGTGTTGGAATTTTAAGATGCTTCGTCAATTTTAGCTATTATCGAAGAGTCAAATGAGTCTGATAGATCGCTGAATAAAATCATTTCTGGAGTACTATGACCTAAAAGCAGTTACGTTTAAGTTCTAATTAGATCCAGTAGTTAAAGAGTGCTCAATCCCAAAAACTTAAGAAATTTAGAGGTTTGTTTTGACGTACTAGTAAACTTGTTGCAAAGCTATTTTGTGCCATCACTATGATAATATAGTGTTGATGACGACTTGGTTATTTCGCTTGATATAATTTTTATTAATTAGTTCAATATTAGTATTAATACTTTACTTAAGATTCATATTTGATGGTAATAACAGGATAATAAGAAATATAGTTAGCGTTAAAGGTTGATAAATATGTGAATCTTTTGGAGCTTTAGTAAATTAATTAAGGAGTTTATGTTTCATACTACTTTATTTTTTACCACAATACATCACCAGATGGAATATGGTTGAGCTATGAATTACTAAATTATCACATAAATGCGATTATTTAGTCATCCATGTTACAACCTTAAATTTATTTTTGAATTTCATCTTACTTGAATAGTAAGCAGGATAACAATATGCTATCATCGATGGCAGTAATGGCTGATATAACAGTCCAATTAGTCTTTAATTCGATCTATAGTAGTAGCTAGTCTATCCACAAATCCCATAGAATCGGATGTTGAATTACAAATACTATTTTATCTTACCTTATTCGTCAACAGAATAACCGGATGCGCAACTGACTTTAATGATCGGTGATTAACCTGTCGTCTTGAATTTAATTATATTTGCTACTGAATTAACAACAGCAGTACTCAATTAGGGATTGCTAAAGAAAGGAGGTGGGACATAAAGCGGCTTTTCAGGGACAAAAATAGGAAAATCGATTTTTATTGCTGATTCACTTATTATACCTGAAGACTGGAACCGTACCCTATACCGTTGCCAATCAACCTGTTGGTTACTTTGAGAGCGCCCTTGTTAACAGTATAATGTGCAGTTACTGACGTGTTTGCCATTTAAAATGACCAGAAAAAAATCAACGATGTCATTTTCATGGAGGAAAAGTTATTTCCTGTCCTTTTTTGTTTCCTTCAGCAGTCTCAGATACAAATAATTGTCAGCTTACGAAAACACTGCTAAATTTTTCGGTCTATTATCATCAGGTTAATTTTATCGTCATAGATGAGAAAGCATACTCTCTTATGTAGTCAACATTGACCTTTAGACTTGCAATCTCATTAACTAAGATTGACAGCAACGCTGTTATTATCAATCATCCATACCCTTTATAAACCAATCATCCCAGTCAGCAAAGTATCAGGAATATAGTTTTATATTAGTCTTATGTATTGTAGATTTGATGATGGCGTAGCAAGATTAATTAATTATTGTATGTAAATAAACCCTATTCTACTAGAGGTTCAAAATTTGCATAATTCCGTTATTGTTTTGTTTAATGCTTTTATGCTTATCACGTCGCCGCTATTCTATTTGGTTTATGATGTCGAATTACCGATCTTCTCGAGCTCATGAACCTAATCCAAATCATGGTAATAATTCATTTGTATTTTCGATTCGAAACGATAGCAAACTAAGTCCGTACAAACTTGTGTAATGAAATGAAATATGTAGAAATCAAGCTACAAAACTTCTAATAAACTTTGATTCTACTTTCTTTACACTCTGGTCGACTTAACGAAACTTTGATAGCAAATAAAATTGGGGAAACAACCGATCAGCAATTTATTAAGAAAATGTGAGAGAGATCAATCAAATAACCATCCAAAAACTTAATTTTAAGTATTGTAAGTGTAGAAATGAAAAAACGGCAGAAATAAATCTGTTAACAAGCAAACAACTTAATAAAAAAAAAGAACGTTTTAACTTACAGCAGTTCGACCTCGAAGGCCTTTAAATTTCAACAATTTCTTTAAAACAATCTTTCTTTTTACTTTTTACTCTAAAATTTCTGATTGCTCTATCATTTATAGGCTTTGCAGAGCCCTCAATGGTATTTAAAACTAAACATTTAATAACTAATCACTTTTAAGGTCGATTTTAGAGAACTATTTTGCTCCACTTAAGAAAACAAAAATTATTCACAGTTCACACACAATTGACCTATGATTCCCTTACAAAACACTATAAACCAACAAACTAACTATAAAATACATCAAGTTTCACTTCTAACATAATTCTTTATCATTAATACAATATAAAAGTCAAAAAATTAACCTTTAAACATCAATACTTAGTCATAAAAATAAGAGTCTAACTACTTAACAATCAGCACAACCTCTGCCCTTAGCCATCTTATATTCTATTGTCTCAATTAAACTTTCCTAATGTAACTTTCATGTCACGTCATAAAATTCCAAAGTTTTAAATTCACGACAAATAGTTTAAATTTCAAAAATTAACTCTTGCAACATTTTCTATAAATTAAAATCCAAACATTATATCGAACACAGGTCAGACAGTATACTCAGGTACAGTCGTAATGGATATATTAATTTTCCTGAAATAATATTTACCTTGATAGTATTAACATGTTGAATAGATTCTTAGTTGGATTTTGTTAGTTAATTAATTTTCTAATATCCTATAGATCTTAAATAGATTTGTGCTTATGTTCACATCGTGCCCTACTCTATTTGATAGTTAAACATATAATTAATATGTTGTGTAGAATTGCAATAGGTTATTATTATGAAATCATGTTGTGTATACAGTTTTACCATGCTTGTACCGATAAGATGATGCGATTTCTAATTTACTTTGTTAATTGATTGATAAATGATTCCATGGATCGTTAAAAAAATTTACTGATGACTTGACACTATGTCTTGTTATCCCAAATATCTTACCGTGCTTGTTCTGATTACGTGATGTGATTTAAATGATTGTCTTCACTTTACTAATTAATTAACAAATGATTCTATGGATGGTCAATAAATTAACTCAGGAGTTTACATCGTGTCTTACTATACCTAATAATCTATATATATACCGGTAAAGTTGTGATAAATGTATTCATTTCCAAGCATAGTTCTGCCTTGATTTTACTAGTAACATAATACTACCATCAATTGCTAAATTACTTTATAGATTGATAATTTTTTAGGTAACGTTATTCTCCCTGACTAACTAAACTGAATCCTTCGATAGATACAAATACCATAATATCTGCTTGAATTGGCTATTTTACTTCAATTTTTCAATAATAGTATTAAAAAAGATGACAAGGTGGAAGATCAACTCTGATAACTGATTAGCCAATTTGATGAATCTTTATTGTTTAAGCTAATTAGTCAACAACTTTCACTGTTAATATTTCAATATCTTGTAAATTTTAACTTTTTACTCTTGGTCAAGTATTTTCATATTCCATAACACAGATTTCAGCATTACCTCCCAAACTTATATTTTCATAAAACGACAATAAAATAGCAACGCTGTTATAATACATGTCTCGTTGCTTATGCTTATAGTCATAGCTTTAAAATTAAATCATTGTCATCTTTACTCATGCAAAATGTTCTACATTGTTTTATTTCTGGCTATACCAATATTAGAATATAATATAGCCGGCAAATGACTTAATGATGGGTGAAATATTTATCTTGAGGATATTATCCTCATTTGTTTTAGTTGAATTAAACAGATAAAAGCTCAGCACGCCTTGAATCTTGCTTAAATTACGATTATGCCATTATTAAATTAATTAAAAATAGTCAGATTGATGGAATAATTGTTTCAAAATAAATAGATGATGTCATTTAGGTATAACTGCCATGATGTTATGCTTTAGATGTCTCTCTATGTGATATGATATGAAACTGTTTGTAATCGGGTGACCATTCCTTTTGAAATCCTTTTAAAGTAGAAGAATTTAAAGTAGACTCCTTTAGACAGATTATTGCTGTGGATTCGTTATTATTTCTTCTTAATATCGTAAACAGTAATTACCTTATGTATCGGGTACCTTAATCATATCCTACACACCGTTGTTCGAACTTGCTTTAATAACCCTTGCAATTTACTATACCGTTACTACTTGTTTATTTACTTGCAGTCTTGTAATTTTGAATAATCTTGTCGTAATGTTAATGTCTTTGATATTCGATGCATTTGTTGAAAACGATTCATTTTTTCTTACATAAGCGTAAATGTAACTTATAAGGCTAATCGATTCTGGATGTAATTCTTGATGCTAGTCTGTTTGATCAAATACAGTGCTAATAAATTGCTATTATAAAAAGCATAGGCAGGGATTAATAAATCGGTTTTTAGCCTTTAAAAGACCCATATGAACTCGCTAATACATAAAGCATTGGTAGAAATTAATAGAAATAAGCAACTAATGAACAGATTTATATGATACAAATCAAGTAAATATGTCAGGTATGGAAGTGTAGCGGGATGATTAGAGGAAGCTGTAGAGAATTTTGCTTATAAATAGGAGCAATCATAGCCACATGTTGATTCTTTTGAAATAGTAGAATAAAGTGATATACGTGGGATAGT